TTTTTTTTTTTTTTTTTTTTTTTTTTTTTTTTTTACGACTGAAGTGCAAGAACTGAACAGGCTAGTTCAACAAATGAACTAGCCTGTTTACCCCAACAGACGTCACAGATGTAAAAGAAAAAAATGTTTGTAAACTATAAGCAAATATTTAACCCCTAGAATACCACACATAAAGAGTGAAGTGCGTCCAAAACAGCATAATAAATGATAAAGTATCAACTCATCCCATCAGAGGCGGAAACGAAACAGCTAAAACAAATTGAGCATCGTACACCCTCAGCCTGTGTCTGCGAAACTTAATTGGTGTGGCAGATGCTTTTTACTCCAAAATACACAGCAAAAATCCAATTTTCTTCTGGTCTTAATGAGTAAAGCAAATAAAAGGGCTCCATAAGAAAAAATAAGCAACTACACAGGGATTGTTGGGCAACAACATAAACCGCATAAACCGCAAGTCTTTAAAGGTAAAGCATATTTCCGGACCAAAAAAGGCATTCACGAATGACTTTTAAAAGTTAAAAAATATTGGTTGTTATACAAATCGTAAAATTCCACGTGTAATCAATTCAAATGTGGCTTCCATTTCGTCCTCAGCGTCCAAATCACTATCTGAATCGATAAGCGAAGCACTAAAATCGAACGATATCAAATTTTTTCTTCTGGCTCTGAAAAAAAGACTTTAGCAGCTGCGCAGCACTTCAAGGTGGAAATGATCTAGATGGCTTTTACGAGGAAAACATCAAAAAGAGGATATCCACACCTTCGCAACGAGCGGGGGCTTTCTCCTTCTGCAATTGTACCGTCTGGCAGCTCATGCTTGAAGAAGCACTTGTTGCCAAATGGACACCCAGATATATCACTTCCTTTAATATATCTACACTGAATCTTCTTATTTGCCTCCCGATAATTGGCAATAAGTTGTTCCTTTTCCTTTGCATCTTCAACCCAATAATGAGCTGCAAAAAAAAGAAAAATGAAAGTAATGTAATATATCATCAGAAATATTACTTTAAAACATTGAGGAAAAGGCGTTGCACATATGAAAAGTAAAAAAAACTATACACCGTTCCAAATACTTCTTAAATGCGCTAAAATATTCATAACTCAATCACACAAACACACGATATATACGTCATATCATTGAACAACAGCGAACAGAAACTGACAATTAAAACAATAGCAATTTCCAAACAATGTATGAAAATAAAAAACTTAAGCAAATATTTGTACCACTTTTCAAGCACTGCTTAAACAGCTTTAACTGCTTCTTTGACAGAATATAGATTAGTACTAAATAACAAAAAGCGAACCAAAAAAGACAAAAAGGAAAATTCGTTGTTCTGAAATTATATTCCATAAATCATACTCTATTAAGTCACCTGGAATAACAAAATCGGAATGAACTCTACATTCCGGACAACTGCGTAGCACTTCTTTTTCAAAAAAGTCGTTACGGTTTCCTCGCCATTTCTTGATACAGTCCAAGCAAAAGCAGTGTTTACAGCGTTGCAAGATCCCAAACCGTACTTGTCGTTCCCTGCAAGAAAATGAAAAGAACCCACTGCAAAGGCAAGCCGTAAAGAAAAAGAGCAAGGACTTTTATAAAATCATCGGCTGAAGAGCTCACCAGACGTTTTCCATACAAATACCACATATCTTGTCTGCAGAACGCTGCTCTGCTAGCTTAGTCTCCAAAGCTGCCTGTTTCTCAGCTTCACATTCTTGGTGGTGTCTTCTCCGTTGTTCTTCGTCAGCAGGATGCAGAGCAGCCTTTCCACAAATCTCGCATATCAAACCATGAACAAACTGACATCCAGCACCTTTCTCACAAAAGCCATTCTCATAATAGGGGCACAATGGCAAAAGTGAAACTGATCTAAAAAACTATTCAAATTTAATGCAATGCGTCTGTATCTTCGCCGTAATATCTAACAATAATCAAATTAGTGGCAAATATACTGAATCTTAACCGCTAGTAAAGCAATCCTAGCCTACTGCTTATAAATGACTCTGAACCCTGCAATACAGCACTGCTTTTCAAACTACCTGAAAATAGTAAAGCAGCCAAAAGTCTACATTTATTTGAATCCAAAAACGAAAACGAATCAAAATAACGAATCAGTGATACGTGTATTATCTCTCCCCCTCCCTCTCTCACAAAAGAAAAAAAAACCCAAAGCGTGTCGAAACACCTTTAGCAAACCTCTGCAACATCCTAACAGTCTAAATTTCAAGAGCGAAGGAACAACTCACTCAAGTAACCATAGTATTTTACATCTTTCCGTCTTATATGATAATGCACTTAATGAAAACCAATGCAAACCCTGCAGCGCTCGCAAAAGTTTTTTCCCCCACTGCTTTCTTCATCCAAGAGGGGACAAACACTTCGGCGTCGGGATTAAACTGTGATTTTGAATTAGATGCCTGAAGGTCCATTTTTGACGATCCTGCTGCATCTGCGCTTGCCCCAGAGTTTGCTGAAAATGTTCAGCAATTTAAGCAAAATAAAGTGAAGCTTCCTCTTCTTTCCACGTCTACCTTGAGAATAAAACAAGGTTAGAGGTGATTTTAATCAACTTCATAACCCCAATAAACTATAAAATTAAATATAATGAACAACATAACTCTAAAAAAATGAAAACTCAAATATAAAAATAGAAAATAACCCTTGCAGCTGGAAACAGATCGTTTTTCCTCTAGTCCACGAGGTAGAACCGCCGGTCGCTTGTGGTCGTACCTACAACGTACAGTTAGTTAATTGCCTTCATTAGTAACGTAAAAAAAGCACCAAAAAAAAATTTAATTCAGAAGAAAACTTTAAAGCAGTTCACCACAAAAAGAATTTTCAAAAACATTGAGCTTTAGAGCGCTGTCGAAAGTAAAATCTTGATCAGAAAACTTTCTAACTACATTTTTTCATTTTATAACAAGAACTAATTTCATTATCTTTAAAAAAGACAAGCTTAAGTCTGCAAAACAGAAATAATTTGCCAAACCTGCACCGGTCACCATACGCGCAACTTCCAACCAGATAGTACTTACAAACTGTGTTAGGTTTAGCACTGCGATCATGTGAAAACGGGCAATCCGCCCCTTTACTGCAAACGTTGTTAGCAAAATAACGACAGAGCACTTCCTTTCTAGGTCTATCCAATGCTGAAACTAAAAAATAAACTCAATCAATAACAGATTTAAGCAGGCAGCAGTGAGAGAGAAACAGTTTTACTTCTAATACAGACAAAGAGAAGTCTAGGAGTATGTTCAATCCACTAAGAGTACACAGAACAAGTACTCACAATTGCAACAGTAATAACAGTTTCCATAACGGAAAAGAAATTAAGATACTTATATTTAATTTAAGCGGTCGCTCAAAAAATTCTAATCTTCATTGCATACTTACACTACGAATTCATATTTTTCTCATCACACCCAGCTAATCGGGTCTTAAAATGGATCCCTGTCGAAAAAATTGTGGGAAGAAAACGGGCCTATAATGCTCAACACAGTTATTTTACATAAAGCCCTTCACACAACGAACTAACGAGTTTTAAAAGGTGTAATGTGAGTTGTCCCCACGGAAGTAGTGAACTACACCAATACTTCTTCAGGCTAAGAAATATAAATAATACTCTAACGTCTTAACCTAAACGATAAAAAAACCAAGAGAGTAACCACATACTACACGTGCTTTTTCACATATGAGCAAGAAATTCCGTATCAATTTTGAGGTAGATCACTTAGAGAAAACAGAAGATTTTTCAAAATTGGAAGTTCTGCATAACAAGCATTTAACAGCTCGATCTTGACTAGCAGTAAAATCGGATTTATTCGGCAAAAAACTTGTGAAAGGGAAACTGTAAAACCCTAGTAATAAGATTTTCAAATCCAAGTAAATAAATTCACCGACACTATAACATTACAAATTTTCTGAATTAATCATAAAAACGACCAAAGAAAAATATAAAATCTATAAGAAAGCTGAGATTAAACTTGTTTGTGATGTAGATGTTGCTATAAATGAATACAAGTAGATACAACTAGCCTGATTAAACCCACCGTAGAACTCTGCTTGTATCTTTTAACAACTTGTATCTTTCTTTAAAAAACTCCTCTCTTAGCTTTTTATGTCACGGAAAAAAAAAAAGATCTGCCACAGCAAAATTATTTTGCAACACACTTTTTTATGACGAAATAAACTAAAATGAATCTTATAGAAATTATGTTAAGCTAAATCAGCGCCGCATCATTTATCGCTTAACCAGCAAACAGTTCAGTGTACAAAAATTAAATCCTCCACATATTTTACAACAGAGCCTACTAAAAGTGAGGAACCCATATGATAAGTAGGCCTCTTATTTTAATAATCATCTGAGCACGCCAAACATTCAACGGCTGCTACCCTTCAGCTACTGCAGCTAATACAGCCAGTGAAAGCAATGATACCGTCAAATTAGAAGGCTAAGAAAAATGGAATATAGTGCAAAAAAAGACCCAAGCTGGTTGTTTATTCACAGGAAACAAAAGACAAGGTGAGAGTATTTACGTTACGGCCCTCAAAAATTCACTTAACAGAGAACCCACTTCATGAAGCCATGAAACATCCAGTAGACACGTAACGAATTTTTTCTACAGTTAAGGACCGAAAGAAAACTCACACGAAGCCATTATTACGCTGATTCCAAGT